CCAACCCCCCCCCCGGCCCCCCCCCCCCCCCCCACTCCAGCCAGCCCCCATCAGGGCGGGATGCTGGCGCCGATCTTCTCCAACAGCTCGGGGCAGACAATCATCACCCGGCTGAGGAGCCGGCCGACGTAGGCCCGGTAGCGCTCGAGGTCATGCTCGGCGCGGGCCAGCTGCAAACGCAAGGCCAGCAGGTCCTCCTCGGTGAAGGGATCCCCGGTATAGTTGGCCAGGGCCTGCTCAATGATTCGCGGGTCCACCTCGTGGCCATTGACCAGGAACATGGGCATCAGGCCTGCCGAAGCGGCCCCCGGATCCAGGACCATCGTCGTGCCGTGGGCATGGTCGCCGGGTGGCCGGTACAACGAGTGCTGGATGGAATTCCTCCGGCCGGAGCCCGGCTCACGATAGTGCGGCGCGGTGGCCGCATACCGGACCAACTCGCGGTGGTCCTCCTGGCTGTGGTCATCGGACAGGTGGTACGATGCAGGGCGCGGGGGCCCCGAGTAGCCGGCCGCCGGGCCCGCGGCCTGGGGAATGCCCTGGAACGAGCCGCGTCGAGACCGGCCCCCCGCCGCGTGGAGGTCATCCGCCGCGTACCAATGGCTGGGGGGCGCCCCGGCGCCCGGCCCACCGCCAGCCCCGCCCATGGACCCCACGCGGCCATGGCTGCGGTCCTCATCGAAGTAGTCCCCATGCGACCGGGGAAGGTGGTGTCCCCCGGGGCCGTCGCCCTGGCCTCCGCCGGCCCCATGGCGGTAGTCGCGGTTGATGCGATTCCAGTCGGGATCGGCCGCCGCCCCACGACCCGGCACCCCGCCATCCGGCTCGCCGGCAAAGGGATTGCCCATGCTGTTGATGCTCCGGGTGTCGTAGGGAACACTCCCGCCGCCGGGGAGCACAACCGCCGGGGGCCGGTGTCGCGCAAACCCGGGCTCACCGCCATCCCCCGCCGCCGGGACCACAGACATGCGCCCGGCGAAGAGGTCCCCCTGGTAGGGATCCACGCGGATGGTGTCGCTGCGTGGCTGTGGCGACCGGGCGACCACCCCCGGCAAGACGGGCCCCGGCTTCAGCGGGTGGGCCTGGGACATTTGGAAAGTCGAGCTATATCGGCGCCCCTGCGGCGAGTCGGGCGGCGTGTAGGTCACCCCGCGCGCCAGGGGCTGGGTGTGGCCGGGGGCCATCATCGGGGCGGGCACCCCGGCAAAGGAGACCCCGGCTCGCGGGACCACGGCCACGGCTCCCTTGCCGACGCCGCCGCTCGACAGGCTGGCCCGATAGGCGGTCGGGGTGTACCACATGTCTTGCGGGTCCTCCTCCGGGGGGGTGTCGAAGGGATTGGTGGACCGAACGCTCCGGCGATCGGGCGATATGGGCCGCGGCGCGCCGGGCCCCGGGCGGCCGGTCGGCGTGGCGGAGTACGCGCTCACCCGGTCATCGCAGGCACACTGGCTCATGAGCATGTGGCAGAGGGGGCACACTTGGGAATCGTCAAAGCGCGGCCCGGCCCAGGACATGGCGGGGCCGCGCTTGCGCCGCACGCGTTCTGGCTCGGCCGGTCGGGTTGCATCATGTCAGTCGCAGGGCAGCGGGCGGGCGCAGGCGCGCGGGCCCAGAGCCGGTCACACGCACCGCGCAGTTTCCATCGCGACGTGGTGGCCACCGAGTAGCCGGCGTCCGTCAGGACGGAAATATCCACGAAGGAGATGCCGATGCACAGGGAGGGCAGCTTGCCGGCGCCGAGGGGGACCTCATCGAGCCAGGTGAGCGCGCGCCAGGCGCCGGCCATGTCTTCCACTTGCATTTGGCGGAGCTGCTGACCGGTGCGCGCCGAGTGCGGGTCGCCGGAGTCCGGGTCGGTCTCATTGACGATCTGCTTGATGTCCGACGGGGTGAGGCGCAGCTTGCCGCACTCGTGAGAGCGATTGGCCCGCCAGCGGTTTCGGAAGCCGAAGCGCTTGTGGTAGCTTACCTGGGGCGGGGCTCCGTCCTCGATGCGGGCCAGGTGCACACGGAAGACCAGCTCCTTTTCGCCCTGGCGCTGGCCGCTGAAAGGCTGGTGGTCAGTGTTGGGGGGGGGGGGGGGGGTGGACAGGGGGTCTTGGGCAAGGACACGCACAAGTCCATCTCCTCCATCCATTGGACATTGCCATGGTCATCAACCTCGGCGTAGTTGGTGGCGAACTGCTCCTTGCGGTAGCCGACCTGCACGCAGGCTGATCAGGGCGGTTGCGCGGCGGCCCAAGCGAATGGCAGGCATGGGGCAAGAAGTTGCATTCCAATGGCGGGGGAGGGCAGGGAGGAAGAGACAGTGTGTGTCAGAGAGAAAGAGGGGGTAGGAGATGGATGGGGAAAGCGCCCTCACGTGCGGCAGGCCACTCGGGAGGCAGGGTCGAGGCGCGATGACAGCCCGTACCGTTGAATCCCGGGGGAAGGTCGCGTGCACGGAAGACTAAGGGGGGGAAGAGAGTGGGTCATTGTCAGTGGGAGGCTGGCCTGGGGAGGGGGGAGGAGGGGGGACCTCCCCAACAACCGGGCTGTCGAGGGCGATGGGTGTCATACTGCGGAGTCGTAGGCATATTCGGTCATCGATCTCCCCGATGGCAGACATCTTGCCAGCGGAGGGAGGCTCAGAAGCCCAGGGTGCGCGGGATGGAGGGAAGGGTGTCCCGGCCGGCGCTTGCGCGTGCGTGTGTGTGCGCTGGCCTTTCGGGCGGCGAGGGCACGGCGGCCGGGGGGGGCCTTGGTATCAGTGTCGTGGCCGTGTGGTTGACAGCGGCAGCGGGGCCCAATCCGGGCCGTCGTCGTCGTCGGAGAGAGAGAGAGAGAGAGAGAGAGAGCGGGATCCGCTGGGCAGGCTTTCCGGCGCCCGGGGGTGCGCCTCTGTCAATGGCGCGGGCGAGGCGGCGACCGAATTCTCGCTCAAGATGGGTTGTTCGGGAGGAGAGTGCGAGAGGAATGGCCAAAGGCTGGCCGCACACGCCCCCGGGGGGCCTTCTCTTCGGGGCACCGGACAGCCCGGCCGAAGGCAGTGACCGGGGCGCCGGGCGGAAGGAGAGAAACAGGCACAGGAACATGGCAGGGGAGGGTGGTGGATGGGGAAGACCGCTCGGAGTCGGGATCATGCCGCATGGGGCGGGGGGGAGATCCGTCCCAATGGGGGGAGACACAGGGCTTGCTCCCCCTCCGGCCGGGGCGGGCCTGCTGCCCGGGGCGATCGGGTCACAGGGCCCGGGCGATCCCCGACCATTGCGGGGTATGAGCAACGGTGCGTGCCGGCCCCACTTCCGGAGCAAGTGAGTTAATGGTGCCTGTAAGCGCGAGCGGGCAGCGGGTTAATGCCTCGCCGAGGCCCTCCCCTGCCAGCGCTGCCGACTTACCAGTGTGTTGTCTTGCGCGGCCGGGGGACAGGGCCCCGCCCCATGGGCCCGCGGCACCCTGCCCATGATGCCAACTCTTATGCTTCCGGTCGCAAAGCCCCCCGGGCGAGAGCCGGCGACAACCGCCGGGGCCTCCCTTTGTTTCGCACACTCGCGCGACCAGCGCACGCACCCACGCACCCAAGCACCTACATACACACACACACACACACACGCATGCACGCATGCACGCAAGCACGCAAGCATGCACGCATGCACAAGACCCCGGGATGGTGTGGCCGCTTGTGGGGCGGCGGCAGGGGGACGCAGGCCGGGCGGCGGGAGCCCCCCCCCCCCCGGGAGGGAGGCAGAAGGGCCGAGGAGGTGAGCCCCTGTCCGTCTCGCTGGCCGCCTCTCAGTGCGGCGTCCTGCTCAGCATGGCGGCGCAGCATCGGCGCCCTGTCGGCCCTCCGACCAATGGCCAGCGGTCGCTCGAGCGCGCCCGCATCCCCCCGCCCCCGCCTCCCTCGCGAGCCACAACCACCAAAACACAGGCGTGCGCATGGGTCCACAGGGGGGGATGCCTTTGGTCATTGCTCATCAGCGCGCGTCCCCCCCCCCCGCCCCCAGGTGGCCGCGCCGTAGCGAGCACCCTCCGGGGAGTGATCGCAGGTCAGGAGCACTGGCTCATGGGTTGTCTTCGGCCGATGGGGGTGGGGGGTGGTTCGGGAAAAGGCCCGCGGGAGGGGAGCGTCTGAGGTGGTCGGGCAGTGGCCGGGGGTGGTCGAAGAAAAAGAAGCGGCGCTCCGCGTATTCCGCCCTCGGCCCCCGCGGGGAGCGCTGTGGCGGCGCGGTGCAGCGCAGCGCGCACACACACTGCCTGCGGAATACGGGGCTCGGTCAGAGGCTCCCCGGGAGGGGGGGGGGGGGGGCGCAAGAATTTGTCCCTTTCAATGGAGGGGTCAACTGCCGCCAGCGCCGCCGCCGCCGCCGCGGTTGTGGCCCGCAGGACCACGGGCCGAGTCCAGGGTACGACAGACAAAGTGAGCTGGCATCGGTGGCCACCGGGCCACGCGCGCCGGCTGTGGACTGTGGACCTAGTGCGCCTGAATGCCAGCAGGCCGCGCGCATATTTGCCCATGCATGCATATGTGTGTGTGTGTGTGTGAACGCGCGTGGGCGCGTCGACACCCCAGAGTACGCAAATAAATATGCGGGATTGTGTTGCCTGGCGCGCTGGCACCGGGCCGGGTGGCGGAGGCGGGGGAGGAGGAGGCGAAGGCGCGCGCCTGGGCCCGGCGCCGGTGGATATGCTCGCCCCTGGTGCAAGCGGGGGATGGGGGGGGGGGGGGCCCGACGCCGGCGGCCCTCGCGCTTTCCGGGCTCTGAGGGGTCCCGAGAGAGGGCGGCCGAGGGAGAGCTCCGGGGGTTTGTTTGGGGCTTTTTAAAAATCCCCGGATACTGCCGAGTGCGCGCGACCGGCCCACCGCTCGCCCGCCCAAACAGAGGGATGGCGGGTATTTGCTTGCGGTGCCCCGTCCTCCCCCGGCGACCCGGCGAAAGACCCAAGCACAGTGCGAGATACATGGACCCGGGGCATCTTCCCCCGCCGGTCGATCGGTACCGGCATTTCCGGCGACGAGGGCCGCGGCGCCCCGAAGCCGCGGCCAATGGCCCAGAGCGCGTCACCATCGAACCAAGGCGTGGACGTATTTTGTGGAGCCCGCGGCGCACCCGGGGGGAGGCATGGAGGCCCGTGGGGGGGGGGGGGGGGGGGGGGGACCACCATCTTGCCCTGCTGCGGGGGAAGCGAGTGTGTTCATGGGCATACCGCCCGGCCGCGCGCCCCATCGCACACCCGGCCGCGCCGGCCGGGGGGGGGGAGGGGGGGGGGCCAGCGCACGAGGAGAATATTCCGAGCGAACACTCGGGGCGATCGCGCAGGCCTGTAACGCGGAGGGAGCGAGGGGGGGGGGTACGGAGAAGCGTGCAGGAGGGCACCGCCGAGCCGGGGGGGGGGAGGGGGGTACGGAGAAGCGCACGGCCATCGGCCCCCGAGTCTGGGGGGGGGCCAGTGCTTTCTCGGAAAGGGGCAGGCGCCGGATGCGGCTGCCCCCAGCCCCCGCCCTCCTTCCCCACCTGCCACACAGCCCCGCCCGCGACGAGAGGGGTGGGGGCCGGCGAAGGCCGAGGGGAGGGCGCCAGGTGCCCCGACACCCTGGGCGTGACGGGCACCAGGCTCGCTCGGGGTCGGGGGGCTCCATGTGTGCGTGTGTGCGTGCGTGCGTGTGTGTGGGTGTGTCACGCCCTCTACATGGCATTCCTTCAGGAGCCCGAGCATGAGGTGGGGCCGTGCCGTCCCCCCGGTGCGGCTCCTCGGCTCCCGCCGCCCCTCCCGCCGCATCGTTCCAGGGCTCGCCGGTTCTTTTGCATGGAAATCCACGGCGGCCTGGCGGGTCCTTTCACGTGTAAGGAGGGGGGGGGGGGGGGGGGGGGCGCCGCGGCCGCCCCCAAGCGCCAGCTGGCCCGCCAGGTGCGATCGGCCCTTGCCCGGGCGCATGTGTGTCGCCTGCACGCGCGATTCCGACACACGCCTGTGCCCGGCGGGCCGGCGGCCGCGGGACCTCGCGACATTAACAGGGCTGCCCGGCGGTGTGCCTGTCCCCCCGCCTCCCCCCCCCCCCTCGCGCCC